ACAGTGCCATCGAGTCAATGCTGACTCATAACGACCCACTGTAGGTTTGCTTCCTGAGATTGCTACTGTTGACACGAGTAGAAAACCAGTCTTTCTCAGCGGGGTTGCTGGTCGTTTTGAACTTGCCATCCACAAGGGTTGCAGTCCAACCTCACCACTAAGCCTTCCAAGTGGTTGCTACTGCCCCTGGTGGAGGGTGCGAAAACAATCCAGGGTGAGCCACAAAAGCGAATACCTACGCTTTATGGTATTGTACTAGAGGACAAACGTTTTGAACTGCAGGTGTTATGCCCACCGACCTTGTTATTCCGTTGACCTTGGTGTCCTCCAAGATGATGGGCCTGATCCCTGAGTTAGTTATGTTCTCTCGTGAAGACGGCCAGATCTTTCCTTCTGAAGCCCATCCAGTGGGTTCAAACCAACCACCAGAATGCCTATTTCATCACAGGGATCCCCCTCTGAGCAACGACCCAACGAAAGTCTAATTTTCTAAATTATTCCCCTTCAGTGTAGAATATTGAAGTGGTGTTAGTTAACTATAAAATAATACAAATTTTATTTAATAAGCAACATTTTTGTTTCCTTATTGCTATGGAGCAGGGATTTTTCAAATGGCTTCCTGGTTGCAGAAATATTCAGTGTATATTTCCCCTGGGACTTTAAATTGTCTTCCTTTGAAAATGGAACCTCTTTAAAAGTCAAATTGGATAACTGGGCACAGTTGGAGAAGGTAACATTTACACTTTTACCAGTTAAGAAACATATGTTGGCTAACGATTGCTTTTAAAGGTACACTCCTGAAATCTTGGATATTTATATGTATGTATGTTTGAGAGTAAGTATGTTTGCATGTTGAGATGTTCTCATGTATTGCAAAGTAACTTATTGTAACTGCTTATGCCATGTGTCACTCAAGAAGCTAAGCACACTCATTTCAAATCAGGAGAGAGTATAAAAGTCCATTTTCTTGCTGAATAATAACTTTTTAATAATAAAAAAACATTAAACACAAGAAAACTTGTTGAAATAATAAAAGGTGGGGATTAAATAACCTAATAAGAACTTCTTATGATAACATATATTCTTTCTAATAAACTTTCTTTTAAAGTTCTTGGCAAGAAAAAACTTAAAATTACCTAAAGAACTTATCCATGGAACCATTCACTGTAAACCTGGAGTACCTGAAATCCTGATACAAGAGGTCTACACTTTGTTAACACATCGAGAGTGAGTTATTCAGAATTTACCAATAACATAGTTTGCTTGTGTTTATGATTTTTTATTTGAATAGTTTTATTGGCATATAGTTCACATACCATATAATTCAATAGTTCCATCATATTAAGAGTCATGCAGTTATCATCATAATTTGAGAACCTTTTATTCTTTCTTGTCCTCATTGTTAATGGTTCCCCATGCCGCCGCCACCACCCCAACTTCCTCTGCCATCCACTAAGAAATATTAATCAAGTCACTGTCTCTATATACCTGCCCTGGAGTTCCTATACGGGAACACATATTTTTTAAAAAGACCACAAAAAACAGTAACAGGGACAAAATAAAAACCTCAATTGAAAAAGACAATATTAAAAGCTGGAGCAAATTTGAAATGGGTCAAAAAGGAGATCAAATGATACAGTGTTACATTTTAACCTAACTGCATCTACCTTGATCCACCATACAATGCTCTCTGTTGGACAGCATGGTTATTCGCATCCCTGGACTCTGGTCAAAGGGGAGTCACCTGAGGCTTAAGCACATGTGGACCCTTCCACTGTCATCCATAGCCTTCTGCAATCCAGGTTTTCAGAATTTAAGTTCTAATATTGCTCCCTCCGGATTCGGATTTCATTATTTACAATCTTGTGCTTCTTCTGTGTGCACTTAACTGATGCCTCACTTACATGGCTGCTTGCTTTTAGACAAGTCTTTATGACACCAGAGGCTATTCCCTCGGAGAGCTGGGCATCATGTAATGTCTTCACCACATTTTACTATAGCACCCATATCTTCAATGATCTCTTCACGAGTGTCAAGTAAGGCCATGTCATAAGAACTGATTGTTCTGAGATTCGGGCTGCCGTGAATTGTGAGCTCAAAATCCATTCACATCTTTTGTTTACATATGTCCCCCATCTACTTCACAGATATCATTATTTTTTTTATTGGGGAACATTATAAATCATCCTCTTGGGGCCCAAGGTACTCCTATTGATACCACCATTAATTTAGCCAATGCTATAGAATTTAAAGCACAATTTAATGTGAAACTGTTGATAAGCTCATCACTACAATGTCTGGCCAAACGTCTTTTGTTTTATTTTTGTCGTCTTCCAGAATTAAAAGTATCCAGGATGACCTTGTGAATTTTACAGACTACAGTTACCAGATGCGTTTGCCCCTGGTGCCCAAGTCGACAGCCTCAAAGTTTATTAAAGATAATATCCGGCTATCAGAATTACTAAGTAATCCCAACATTCTCAGCAATGAACTCAAAGTAGAGTTTCTCTTCCTTTTACAAATGTTGCAAAGAAAATTAAGCAGAAAATTGAATCCAAGTAAGTTTCCCTTGGAAGCAGTCACCTGAGTTTTTCCAAGCTCAATGGTGTAAGATACAGCAAATAAATAAATAATATGTAATATAATAATAAGGGTTCCTGGGGGGTAGGGTGGGGAGGGATGGGATAGAGGGGAGCTGATATCAAATAGCTGAAGAAGAAAGAAAATGCTTTGAAACTGATGGTTGCAGCAATCATACAGTTATGCTTGATCTAATTGAATTATGGATTGTTATAATATCTGTAAGAGTGCCCAATAAAATGATTTTTAGAAAGAAGTAATCCAGAGCCAGAAGAAAGACATGCTTGTTTGTCATTATCCCAGAGGTGCTTTGTTCTATTACTGATTTAAAGGGGGAAATACTGCTCAGTGGAATGGTTTATTAATCCCATGGAAGTGGCTTAAGTTATAATTCATTCTTTTTAATGAAAGTTTAGGTTAGTATAGTATGCAAACACTCTGCTTTTTAGACAAATATTAGCCAATCATTTAAAATTTGGGGGGAAATGAAGTTCACTTATCAACTCAAGTAACTGATGAAAATTGGAATGTTTGAGAGTTCATCAGGATATAAGAACATTAGGAAAGCCCCAATTTCCATTATTCACTATAGGTACTCTATAGAGTATGGTCAATGTTCCTCACCATCCTGATTTTGTTTTGTTCTTTTTGTTTTGTATATCGTATTATGTTAGTCATATGGAGCCACAGTGGTGCTGTGATTAAAGCACTTGGCTGCTAAGCAAACCATAAGTGGTTGGACCCCACCAGCTGAGTTGTGGGACAGGATGAGAGAGCTGCTCTTGTCACCCTGTGGGTTGCCAGACTGAACACTTCAGTAGGAAGCCTCATCTTTCTCCCTCAGAGCGGCTGGTGGTTTCTGTGTAACCCACAGGGATTATGCAAAAACTCTACCATCTGGTTGTTTCTGACTGATAGTGATCCTGTAGGACGGGTAACACTACCCCTCTGGGCTTCTGAGGCTTTAAATTTATGGGAGTTGAAATCTGTCTGTCTGCTTTGGAGTGGCAGGTGCTTTTGAACTGTTAACCTTACTGTTAGCATCCCAACGTGTAACCAATAGGCCACGAGGACTCCTTGTGGCTGTGTGT